ATTTAATTAAATTATTATTTTAATTTTTTTATACGACAAAATATAAAAAATAGCGTGTTTTTTTTTTATTCTATTTTTATATCAAGTAGCTAATATTTCTTACGTGACTGATTAATAATCATAATAAATGAAAATATAAGATATATGTAAATACTAGATTATCGTATGATAATAATGATCATAGTTAACGATATTTCTGCATTATGTATTTCATTTTTTATTGAAAAACATAAATGATAATGTATTTTTTGTTTTACTTAAAAATAATGATTTCTGATAAATGAAAGTATTTAATTAGTTCATATACGAATCATTAAATCTTTTGTATAAAATTTACATTTTTTTTTTCAGTTTATATTTAACTAATATAATTAATCGTAGATTTTCAATAATGATTAAAACAAGGATTATATTATTTTCCATAAGAAACGATCTTACGTGTATAAAACATTAGATCATTTATATATACGTATATAGTAGATCTTGATTGTTCATTGGAAGTACTCCAACTGATTGTTCAATATAATTGGAAGTATTCCAAGAATTTGTGCAATGCTGTGTAAAAAACGAAAAATAATATTTCTCTGGCTTAACAGATTATTTGAAATACCAAGAATTTCGTGCTACTAATACTATATAAGCATCATTTGGATTGGTAGATTATTCACGAACGAATTTGAGTTTCCATAAATAAATTTTCAATTCTACTAATTATGACATTTTATCTCTTCTTGCGTTTGAAATCAAATAAAATTTAATATAAGAATTATAAATAATACATCGGATGGTAATATTATATATTAATCTTCGCCATTCAAAAATTAGATAAGTTTGGATTTACTTGGCACGAATCTCTTCTGTCATTCCGTGACTCGTATTCCGAGAATTAAATGATTAAAATTTTACTCTAATTTTTCATGAATTTCAATGGCGTTAAGTGCTAAAAATGTTGTAGACGTACGAAAGAGAAAAATATACAAATCTCTAGAATTTCTATTATAAAAACAAACTGAAATTTTTAATTTATTAGAGTATCCTAAGATTGTTTACTTTTGTGTACTTTTCCATGGCAGTAAAATAGCCGGAAAATTAGAAGAACCAGCTGGCTGTATCAGATTTGGATACAATAACTTTTAGGTTATGTTTATCTTTTTATAGATTCATAATCAATTTGCTATCTCGGTACGTGTTCTGTTTTGTTGATTATTTCTTGTAATTTTATTAATATAAATTTTATAATGTATTGTCAAGTGTAATATGATAAATATCAAGATTAATGATGCGAAATTAACGAATTCACGGTTATTCGTGATAAACATTCATTTTTTTCAACAACGATAACTCGAATGATATTTGTTATGATCGAGAAAACATATGAACGTGTCAAAATCCCTTCTTCTAAGACATTTTGCAAAAAAAAAAAAAAAAAAAAAACGATCAATGATAATCGCTTTTGAGTTAAATATAAAACGTTGTATCATCTAAGCTTTGTTGATTAAATAATCATATCTAATCTTATTATCCTATTGTAAAATTTTAGTTTCATTAGCGATAGAAGTTTATTACAACTTTTTGTCTATTAATTTTTCAAAGTATCAAAATCAATAGTGAATGAATAATTTTTCTTCAGTAACCGATAAGATTTTTTCCCGGAAAAATATTATTCATAATATCGTGTCATGTGTTATAATTTAGAATGATAAATTATAAATAATAAATTATAAATAAATCGAAATTAAAATAATAACAAATTCTAGTAATTGGAATAAGAATAATATAAATTAATAGTATAATAAATTTTGTATAATGATAATTAAAATAAAAATTTATATAAATTGAAATTCCAATATTGCATAAAATTAAAATAATTATTTTTTGTATGTTTTATATATTTTTATATAATTATATAATTATTTTTTATATTTTTTATATATTTATTATATTTACATAATAAATATATTTTATATATATAATAATTATTATAATGATTTTTACAGGAACTTGGATCGCAACCATTACCAACAATCGTAACTGAAGATGCAGATACTTCGGGTCAAGCGTCTCACGATCAAGGTCACAGGCCGCGAGCAGGTAAAATGATTATATTATCATTTAATTGAATAACATGGTTAAATTTTTTTTTTTATTTCTAATGTTATTCACGTGTTTTCAATCGTTACGACAGGGACCTGGGGTTCGCATTCTAGAACTATCAGGAAGCCCACCTCGGGCAGTGCTCCTGGTTCTGGAAAATCGACTCCTCTCCCGCAGCAAGTGGAGCCTTCAAGTTCATCAAGTAAAGGCAAGAAAGTTTCTGGCACGCGATCTGGCTCCACCAGTCGTAGTAATAGCCGTAGTAATAGCGCAGAACGCAGAAGAAGCGGTGGAACTGTTGATGACACAGCCAGCCCTACCAAAAAACCAGCACTCTTTGATGCGTTTAGACCAAGGAGTAAATCTGATGCTAGCAAACGAAAGCCCAGTATTATAGCGAATATGAAAAGCGCTATGCAGGTATAATAATAATTTTCATAAAGAAGAATGAGTTGATTAGTAAAGGAAAGAATAGAATATACAGTTTCTCATATTATGAAATGATATATATATATATATA